TTTTCTTTTCTTACTTTTATCCGTAAAATATTATTATTGGTGCGGTTTGAGCGTTCAATCCTATACGATTGTTTACACAAAACATTTTCTATGTGATATCATCTCTTAGTAGGAAAACAATTTATTCGTTATGATACGATAAAAATATTAAGATAGAAAAGAAAAATCAATCCGTAACAAGGCTCAAATCTTTTTTACAATGATCCAGAGATCATTGACAATTATATTATAGAGTGCGATATTATATATTTTTTATCACGAATTCTCGTTTTTCCATATATTCATCCAGACGAGCATCAGGATCTTCTTAATTCCATTTGTTAATTTCGTTACGAATTATGTACACTGAACCTTGTCTACTAATTCAGCCTCGTTCATTTTTAATCCGACAGGTGAAAGTTTCTGGCTGGAAAAGCCATCCCTTCTTCCCCCTTTAAGGGGTTAAACGGCAGTGTTGTGTACTCGAGTTCAGAGGACAGTTAAGAAATACTGCGGCTATGCGATAGTGCATTATTCAACGAGGTTCGAGCTATAAAACGGTAAAATATCGATCGGGATGCTAATATCTCGTACAACGGCACAGTTTTCGAGAATAATTTTCCGTGAATATGAAACTTTCCATTTTAACGCCTTATCAATTATATCCGTAATTTAATTTTAATTCGATTGAATATTACGAATTCATCTATTAATTTTTTTGTATCGAATGTAGTGTGATATTTAAGGGGATAATTCGATGGCCTTGAAATCTTGTCAAAATCAAGGATCACAGTTATTGTATTCTTGGGATGTTACGTTCGATAATTATATCGCGTTTTTCTATGAATCTTTTTTTTCTTCTGAATATCTTTTCAAAAATTGGCGCATGATTTAAATTGTGCTCGCGTTATCGTAACTATTTTTTAATTAAGCCGAATAAAGAAATGATGTACGTGTGTCGTACGAATTGTACTTGTTGACTATCATCGAACGAATCTGCTAAAAAAAGAAAATTATCAGCGTTTTTAAGACCCTCTGTTCTTTTATTCTTCTTTGCTTTTTCTATACCTAGAAAATAAGAACAGAGATCCAATGAATAATCAGGTATTTTCTCAAAAATAATATAAACTATTTTCTCAAAAGTTAATACAAACTGAATTTAAGTTAAAAAGGAAATTCTGTTCTTCTATTTTCTTCTTTCTTGTATTCTTTTTCTATATCCAGAAAACACAGATCCAATGAATGCAATCAGATATCTAATGAATAATCAGCAGAATGTTCCAAATCTAAGATTTTACAATTTTGTTAAAAACAGCAATGTTTTTCTTAAAAATAGCCAGCTGAATATAATTATACTAAAAAGAAAATTCTTCTATTTTTTTCTTTTACTTGTATCCTTTTTCTATCTAAGAAACAGGAACAGAGATCTGGCGAATTTTCCACAGAATGAAAATTTTTTTGATACCTGATGAATTATCAATAAGACGTTTCAAGTGAAAGATTCTCTCAGAAATAAATCCGAACAAGTCGATCAATATCAAAAGAAGAGCGAGATCGAAAAGATAGTATTCTCCTATGCCTTATATATATATATATATATAAAATCACAAAAGATTAAAGCTAAAAGTAAAAAATTCTTGCCATATCCTGCCTTACTTTTCAATCTCCTTCTTGGCTTTCTTTGCGAGAACCAACCAACCCACTCACCCATCCACCCACCCATCCATCCATCCATTCATCCACCTTCCTTTTTCCAGTAGAATTTCCGTTAATTCGAAGCCAAATTGCCGCGGCACGGGGATGCAAAGAAACAAATTGCACTCCAAGAATCTCTCTGTGCTCTTTATCCTCTACAATTCCACACTGGTTAACCCGTTCTGTCCCCCGGATCAAAAGAGGAAGAGGAGGAGGAGGAGGAGAAGATGGAGAAGGAGGTGGACGAGGAGGTAGAGGAAGAGGAGGAGCAAGAGGAACTGGAGAAAGAGAAGGAGGTGGAGAAGGAGAAAGAGGTGAAGAAGATGAAGGATGAGGTGGAGGTGGAGGAGGTGGAGGAGGAGGAGGAGGTGGAGGTGGACGAGGAAGTGGAGGAGGAGGTGGGAGAGGAGGAGGTGGAGGAAGAGGAAGTGGAGAAGGAGGTGGAGGAAGAGGAGGTGGAGAAGGAGAAGGAGATGGAGAAGGAGGAGGTGAAGAAGGATAAGGAGGTGAAGGTGGAGGAGATGGAGGAGATGGAGGATGAGGTGGAGGTGGAGGAGGTGGAGGTGGAGATGGAGGAGGAGGGCGGAGGAGGAGGAGGAAGAGCAGGTTGGGGGAGGAGGAGACGGACGAGGAGGTGGAGGAAGAAAAGGAGGTGGAGGAAGAGAAGGAGGTGTAGAAGGAGAAGGAGTTGAAGAAGATGAAGGATAAGGTGGAGGTGGAGGAGATGGAGGAGGAGGAGGAGATGGAGGAGGAGGAACGCGCGCCTGCGACCACGATCCTTCCTCCTCTCCCTCTATTTATTCCCTCTTCCGTTTTTTTTTTTTTTTAAATTACGACTGTACTCACGGCTCTCGAGTTCAAGAAGTTGGCCAGAGGCTCTCGTTAAGATTGGCTCGGACCCGAGATACCTCTTCTCGATATGGAATGGAAAAGCTTTTCCCCTCATAAGCGCGGCAGATATGGGATAGGGAAGATTAAAGATCGTTACCACAACGCACAATGAAATAGGCATCTATATTATTGCGCATTGATTTGTAAGAAACAGATGGATCCATTTAACGGTAACAAAAAAAAAAAAAAGAAGAAAATATCGGTATTTTAATTAATATATAATATATAATTATATATAATTAATATATAATTATATATTATATATTAATATAATTATATATTATATATAATATATATATTAATACTATGTATTAATATATATTTATACATATGTATATGTATAAATAATTATTGCTGTATTATATATATATGATAGTGGATATACGATAACAAAAAAAAATTATAATTAAAATTATATATTAATATGTATATATAAATAATTATACAATTGCTGATATCTGTTGTATTATATATAGTGGATATATGGTAACAAAAAAAAAAAGAAGAAAATATCGATATTTTAATTATAATTATTAATTTGTATTTATTTAATTATATAATTATTTAATTATAATATTAATTATAATTATTAATATATAAATATATATATTTAATATTATGTATATGTGTACGTATAAATAATTATACAATTAATATTTGCTATATTATATATAGTGGATATACGATAACAAAAAAAAATTATAATTAATCTATTAATATATATTTATATATATGTATATATATAATATATATATAATAATTATACAATTGTTGGTATCTGCTATATTATGTACAAAAGAATCACAAAAAATTAACAAGATTCATTGACGTTCATTCGTTACTCATTCGAAATAGAAAAAGATGAGAAAAACAAAAGAATTCGAATCGAAATTGTAAAAATATACTGTTAGACGTACAATATGTATCGTGTACATCGTATTTTCTATCAAATTTATTTTTGATTTTCATCTTACTTGATCGTTTCTATTCCATTTAATCAATCCCCCCCACCCCTAATAGATTTTTCCATCGTATCACGCGTATTACATCCTGTATCGACCAAATGTATCGTGTTTTTCATCAACGAATGCGCCGCCCTCGTCCTCGCGATAAATATCAAATATTTATTTTCAATTTTAATTCTATTTCATCCCCCTATTCCCCCTCCCCACTCTCCTTTCGTTTAACAAATACATCACATCAAACGCGTATACGAATGACACATCCACGACGAGTAAAAAAAAAAAAAAAAAAAAAACTAGAATTCCATCTCATCGAAACGCGTTTGAAAAAGGAATCGCGACGATCGCGAAAAACCGCGTTCATTCGAAACATCCATCACATATCCTCCCCTTCCTCCTCCTCCCGCTACTCCTCCCCCCTCCGGCAGATAAGTCTCCGCAGGCGGCTCTCCTCCGCGAAGAAGCGGCCCACGATCCATTAGTCTCAATATCAAAAGTTTTTCGCCCTTGTCCAGGTGGAAATATCGATCCCCATTCCATCCCCTTTATCACCTTTTGTTTCAGGCAAAGTGTAGCCTGCCCTCCTCTCCTTCATTCCCTCCATTCTTTTCCTTTTTCTGCACCTGTCATCGGTTGCAAAAAACGGAAGAGAGAAAAATGGAGACACGATGCCTTTTTTTTTTTTTGTTTAACAATCAAAGACACTTTTTTGTACACCATGATTATCGACTCGATGCTCGATAATCGAATGAATTCATCGTGGTGAAAATTCATCCTTTTCGTCGCTTCATTGAGAGAAACGAAATTCTTTCGGAAGGAATCGTGATTTCGATGATTGTTATTTTTTCGTTTGGGATTTTCGTATCCCGTAGATTCGAGGTAATTATTATTAATAATTATTAATATTATTAATTAATGGAATGTTAAAATCGAGAAAATGTAATAAATGCTTTTGTATTTAACCGAGTTTGGAATTGTAGATTTTTGTATATACAAATTTTGAATAAAGATAGTCATTAAAACATTGCAAATATAGTTAGATCAAGAATTTATCGTAAATTATTTTTGAAAATCTATTAAGAATTTCTTTTATTCTCCTTTCTTTCGTATCATCTTCCATCTTTTGTTCAACTTAGTTATAACGATTTTACCTAGAAGAGGATTTTATCTGAAGAAAAGAAAATAAAAGCATATGCATTTGCTGGAGATGTAATAAATAAATTTCTGTATCAGCCAAAACTAAAAACATTCTGTAGATTTTTATGCATTTTTCGAATTTTGAATAAACACAATAAAGATTCGCAGTTTACTAATTAAATAAAGAGTCATCGACTATAAAAGAAACAGATTCCAAACAGAAGAATCGTATTAGTCGAAATCCAAACAAACACCAATTTCTCTAATTTTATTATTAATAATTTCTTTTATTCCCTTTCGTTCAACTCGATTACGATTTTACGAGGAGTATTTTACCTGGCGTTGCTCGACCGATGGCTGATGAGATTACGAGAATCACCGTGATGGCGGTGTCTGTAACAGAAATGATTAACTGATTAACTTAAGGATCAACTGGACTACGCATCGAGACAGCAGTTTCACGAAATTCGCCCCCTCTCCATCCACGCGTTCGTGTTATTATTGGGAATATAGGATATATAGGAAAACGAAAAGCTCGGAAACGAGACGATAACGAGAGAAGAGAAACGAAATTTGCCGTGGAAATTACAAGGAGCTTGGGGAAGCGCGAGAGGATGGGAGGGGAAAGAGAGAGAGAGAGAGAGAGAGAGGAGAAACTTAAGAAGCCCTGGCAGCGTTTCTCCAAAGGGAAGTTGGCGGAAATTGCTTTGGCTACAAGCGTGCCTCGTTGATAGGAATTAGCTCGATCCTCGCTTTTCAACCTTCTTTTCCATCCTTATTATTCCATGCACATGCGTAACTTCCACAAAGGTTGCAACTCCTTGCAACCAGGGATCGACTAATTAATTCGGTAAAGAGGAAAAATTACGAGGGGAAATTGCCCGACTTACCAGGTTCCCATACTGTTTTCATAAATTTCAAACGGATAATTTCTGTAGAACGAAGAGAGAGAAAGAGAGAATGAGTAAGTGAAAAAAAAATTCTATTTTATCAAATTAACTCTTTGCATTCTCAGTCATCATTCAATTCAAAGCGGCAATTCGAACGGCGATAATATTCATTTATGTTCGATTCTTTTAAAATATCGCTTCATATAGAATAGATTCCTAAGTTCTTTACGTGTATCTTTGCGAAGCGTGGAATAATATACTGGTCGAATGGTTAGGTTAGGTTCTTTTATCTCAGTAGGCCGCGGATCGAATTACATTTTCGGCGTTAGCTCGAGTCTGACGGTCAGTGGGAATAGAAATATTACTTTCAAAGTTCTCGAGTTTTGTAAGCATGGAATACGTTAAAATGAAATTAGTTCGAGCGAAGATGAGTTTAATTTTATTGAATAACGAAATTATTTCTATTCGTTAAAAAATTGACGATAGAGAGAAGGAAAATAGCGATGAAAATAGAGATGTAGTATAAGAATAACAAACGAATAATATTCGACAAATTTTCTTTTTCTTTGCATGTAAATAAATATACACAAAATATTAGAATACAAAAGTTTTATACGTTTGATTCGCGCGTGAAATCATTTTAAGTTCAAGCTAAGAAATTCAGCGTGTATTAAAGCCGTTCAAATTAAAACGTGATACATTCGAGTCCTTTCGAAATTTTTCACGCGTTTCATCATTGGAAGCACAACGCCGCCGATTTTCCAAAACTGGAATATGATTTCTCGTGATTCGACCGCAGGGAGCGGAGGCGACTTCGCAATCGCATTTCCGGTGGCAAGAAACGGTGCTTAATTACTTCATCGTCGGTAAATTCAATGGAAACACAATTACGAATTCGCGCAGCCGTGTATTCCCTCTCTCTCTCTCTCTCTCTCTCTCTCTCTCTCTCTCCTTTTTTCCTCCTCCTTCCATCTCGTTAACTATCTCGATGAGCATCGCGTCTCGAATCTCGAAACCGGAAGCTCGTTACTCGGTCCACGGTGTTCGGAAGGTGGCGTTTATCCGTCGAGCTAATTTTATCAATCCAAGAAAGAAATTTCCGCTCCCGTGGATCGTTGAGCAAAATTTGTAAATCTACTGATTATCGAACGAGCGAATGAAGAAAAGAGTTGTGGATAACGCTTGCATTTGTATTTGTGGAAAAATATAAAATATCGTGGAATGATAAATTGATAAAATTCGAGGAAGAAACGAATTTCGAAAATTCTTTTTGATTTGCTTCGCTTCGCTGTTATTATTGAATTTAAGAAAAATATCACTGGCAATATTGTCGGTCACATAAAAATAAAGCGATTCATTTTATGGTGAACAAATTGTTGCTCGTCGAGTCACGTGAATCGATTTGAAGTGAATTTTTCTCGATCTCTCCCTTTTAATCATTATCATCCTCGCAAGTTTTCTTCTTATCCAAGATCGAGAATCCGATCTCGTTAAAGAGAATCTTCAAAATTTATTTATCTTCATATCCAGAGTGTTCGAAACACTTTACAATACAATTGTGAAAAGTGACTTGGTTACATTACGAAATCCAGTCCCCCCTCCGCCCCTCCTCCCAAAAAAGAAATATCCTCGTAACATAAATTCGATCGTTCAACATTGTCAGAAACACTCTTCCCTACCTTACCCTTCTAACGTTCCTCTGCTATTCTCCCCTATCTGCAAGGATTCTGCTAGGACGAAAAAAAAAGGAGAAAAAAAAAAAAAAAAAAAAAAAAAGAATTCGTATTTTCGCCTAGCATCCCTCGTCATAAATCTCCGCCGCGAGGGGGGGAGAGGGAGGCTACGTTTCCATTCGTGGAGGCTGCGTTTTCAGAAGGGAGAGAAAGATAAATAGATGTACAGGTATAAGAGGAAGAGAAGAGGAGCCACTTTAATTTCGCGAGTGTTGGCCGTGGCGCGGAAAATGTCCCCAATTTCGCGCGCCTTCGCCGAGACAAAGGGAAAAATGGGTGGGGGGAGGAGGGGCTGAAAAAGGAGGCAAAAATTCCCCTCTCGTTCCTCGTGAAGAAATATGTCTGAGACAAAAGCGGCGACCGAGTCACAATTAGCGAAACAACGTGCAAGGAATGCCATGCCGGAAAAGGCAAGGGGCAGGTGAGGAAGGAGAGAGAGAAAGAGTTGGTGAAAAGGAAAAAGAAAGGATAGTTGGTGGTTTCCTTGGTGGATTACTCCTCCAGTTTCTTCCACTTTCTTCCTCTTTCAACATCCCTCCCCCTCCCCTCCTCTCTTTGCTTTTTCGAGGGCGCAAACAAGGGGCGGAGGAGGAGGACCTCGTTCGAGGGCTTCGGTTTATTTACCTTGACCGAACGCTATTGTTTGCTCCCCGACTCGGCACACTCTCGTCCCGCCTGTATTTTTTCAATGGCCGCCACGGATGGGATTTCCTTTGACTCTCGAGAATCGAGTGGACGCCAGTAGCGGTTCGAATAATGTGTAATACATTAACCGGACAAAATTTTCAAATGCGTAAAGAATAATTGTTTCGATATAACATAACAATTCTACATTAAAAATTTTAAATCCTGTTTTTATATTCCAAACAGATTATGAATTAAACTAAATATTTTAACTGAGAATTGATCGATAACATTTGATCGATTATATTTCAGTAGTTGAGAAATATTTTGTAAATTTATTAGAAGGCATTTAAATTTCTATTTTTAATTTAAATCGTATAAATCATCAATACATCGTTCCATGAGACAAGAAAAGTAAAAATTTTCTGCTTTTTTTTTATTGCTATATTTAATTTAATTCGCAAAACTTTGCAGAATTGTATTAATGATTAACGGATTCTTTGATCTAGCCGTTCATATTGTATATATAATAAATATTCCTAACTTTAGTTGAAAATTTTTTTATTGCTTTCAATCTTTCATTTTATAATTTTCAGTTTTATCGTTTTTATCGTTATTTCGTTAAATGACTGTTTAGGCCCATATCTATAGGATAATTTATAGGATAGGATCGTCAAGGACATCCCGTAGCAAATAATTTCTAAATGTTTAATTATATTATAAATATAAATTTATTATAAGTGTAATTTTATATAGGAAGCTAGACACACTGCATAGATAGTTTCGAAAATATTTCAGTTTCCAGTCTTGGATGATTACTCTAACGTAATTTTATGAAAATAAAAATAATTTTTACAATACATATAGCTCTTCCACTACTTGTAACGTAACATAAGCTTGTGGTGTCAGAATTGTCAACAAAACATTTGAAGGACTTCTCTTGCTGTCCTGCAAGACTTTTTTCCAGCAGTAAATAATATTGTTCACTGAGGTGGAAAGAAGACTTGCGGAAAGAACGCGGGGTTTGATTGGTTAATGTGAAAGGAAGGAAACGCCTACTTTCATACGTATTCTTGTTTCTACCGTGGTATTTGTCACATATACTAATCCATATAACGATCTGTACTTATGCTGCGTTAACGTAGCATAGAATCCAGAATATTTTGACGTATCAATATTACGATTTGTAACTATGGTTTAATTTATAAACATAATTTTATAATTGTATATATACGAATAAGCTAGACATATTAGTATTTCATCTTCCAGTCTTGGATGATTATTTTAACTTTGTGAAAATAATTTTTACGACTTTGAATATTCGAATTATAGCTCTTCTTGCTCCTCCTCGTGCCGTTTTTCCATGCTTCTTTTCATCAGCGAATCACCAAACCAAAAACTACGACGCTGGTTTTCACGATACGAAACAACTGTTCCAGCGGTCAAAAATGAAAAAAAAAAAAAACGGTGTGATAATGTAGACGAATAAATCGTTGGCAGTGAAAATACGCGATACGGTTTTCGGTGAGATGTTAAAATCCAGCGTGGAGGAAGGGGGACGAAAGTCGTCAGAATAAATTGGAGGCAGTAAAATTAACCGTGCCTCCCCTTCCCCCTCCCTCCGTTGTTCTTATTTTTGTTTATCGTTCTATTTACCGTTGCGTTAAATTCACCCCCCCCCCCCGTCTTGTCGGCTGATGTACGAGCCGAAACGGAGATGGCGGTGATGCATCGTGCACGCGAAAACCGGCGCTTAACAGCTGGTGTGCACGGACGGACGACAAATTAGGCAACTTTATTTCGATTTCCTGTGGTTCACCGCACTTTCCTTTTTCTTTTCTTTTTTTTTTTCTTTTTTTTTTT